ACAAGAACAAACCATCTGAAACAACATCGAGTCTCACCGACCAGCCGATCTCCTCCGCAGCGTCAGCCTCCATTTCTGCCGCGTCCATGGACGGGAGCAAGCTAGCTCTGCCAAGTCTAAGGGGGATTCTTTGATAATCTATTTACGGACAACGCCTAAAGGGTTAGGGCTAAGTTTTCAGAAAGTTAGGGGTTCAGCCTCTCTTGGTCCCCTAGTTCACGAGTCACCAACTACGCGCCGAAAACGTTTACGAAAGTTAATGCGGCGAAGCTGCTGGAACGACCATCCCTGAACGGCTAAATGTCAGAATTGGGCTGACTCGCTCGAAGTTGCCATGTCGGCTGACGCACCTGTCATGCAACTTCTCCATCACCTGTCGGGAAGAGTCGGCGCCACGCGTACCCCGACACATGGCGCGCGGCGTCATCGGAGCCCTGCCACACCCCACACCGACCCACGGCGAGCGGGGCGTTATCGGGCCCTGCCACACCCCACACGGCCACACGGCGCGCGGGGCGTCATCAGAGCCCTGCCACACCCCACACCGACCCACGGCGAGCGGGGCGTTATCGGGCCCTGCCACACCCCACACGGCCACACGGCGCGGGGCGTCATCAGAGCCCTGTCACACCCCACACCGACACACGGCGCGCGGGGCGTTACCGGGGCACTGTCGCACCGACCAATGGTGTGCGCGGCGCCACCGGGGCGCTGCCACACCCCACACGGACCCACGGCGCGTGCGGCATCACCGGGGCCCTGCCACACCCCACACGGACCCACGGCGCGCGCGGCGTCACCGGGGCGCTGCCACACCCCTGGCAGCCGGCGTGCGGCCGCCGCGGACAGCGCCGGCGCCGCCGGCGCATCATTAGGCGGCCGGTTAATCGGCTCGGCCGGCGCTGGAATGCGATGCGTGCGTGACGGCTCGGCCAGGCTGCACGGCCGGCACGAGGCGGAGGGTGGGGTGCACTCCACGAGCGCCTGGCCGAGGTGGGCATACTCGCTGCGCCGAGCGTCGCGTTTAAAACGGGTCACACCCCGCTGGGGACGAGCACGGCGCGGGTCATACTCCGCTCGGAACGGACACGCGGCGGGCCACACTCCTCTGGAGACCAGCACAGGGTGGGCCACACTCCTCTGGACACCAGCACAGGGCGGGCCACACTCATCTGGAGACCAGCACAGGGCGGGCCACACTCCTCTGGAGACCAGCACAGAGCGGGCCACACTCCTCTGGAGACCAGCACAGGGCGGGTCACACTCCTCTGGAGACCAGCACGGGGCGGGCCACACTCCTCTGGAGACCAGCACAGAGCGGGCCACACTCCTCTGGAGACCAGCACAGGGCAGGCCACACTCCTCTGGGGACCAGCACAGGGCGGGTCACACTCCTCTGGAGACCAGCACAGGGCGGGCCACACTCCTCTGGAGACCAGCACGGGGCGGGTCACACTCCGCTGGGGACGGGTGCCGAGCGGGTCACACTCCGCTGGGGACGGATGCCGAGCGGGTCACACTCCGCTGAGCTGAGCGCCGGGTTTAGGTCGCGATAAGCGTTCGATACTCTGAGCTGCTGGCGTGCGGGTAGCGGCTGGCACACCTGGGCCCGCGAGGATAAGCCCGGCGGCGGAAGGTCTTCCCCGAACAGCGGCGCTCCCACCGCAGCCGCGCGCTCTTGGCACTAAGCACAGCCGAGAGTTTGTCTCACCGCGCGCGCTCTGCCCCCGGCCGTTGGCTCGAAGAGGGCCGTCAGTGGTGCACTGAGACGCGCCGGGAACGGCGCCACTGAGTACCACTCGGGTCACCTGTTACCCGCCGCCATATACTCCGTAGCACGCCGACCAGGGCGCGGCGCCGCAAAAAACGGCGGAAAAACAGTAAACACGGCGTTTTTATGGTCGGTAGAAAAAAACGCTCAGGGAGGGAGCGTTGCCCTTGCCCTTGACATTCATAGATAGCGCGCGCGCCGGAAGCGTGAATCAAGGGCGCGAGCTCGCCCAGATCGGGCCAATTTTCACGTTTCAGCGCTTGCCGTGGCTTCATCAGCCATCGCGGTGAATTGCCCACGTGAAGCGTGCCGCAGAATGCATGCGCAGCTGCACGTAATCTTACCACAGGCGCCGTGCTCAAGGTGTGCCAGTGGCTTAGTTCAAAACAAAATCCGCCTCGCCGCTCGCTGTGCATGAAGTATCGCATGCACTGGTGCAGAACATCACGCCACTCCGAACGCTTCTGAAGACCGGCCGTGAGCAGTGTGGTACCTTTTACGCCATAACTGTATAATGGTGTTGCATTTGCTCATCTCCGCGCCCAAAATTGCATTGTATAGTACATGTATATATATTACTTCCACCGACCGTCATGTAACAAGCTCCGGAGCTCGGGGCCGAAAAATCACCTGTCTGTTCTGGGAAACGGCTGGCAGACCCCCGGCAACATAGAGCATGACGCAACGCTTCAACTTGGTGCCGCCGGGGACGTAGCTGGCGCAGCGGGGGGGGGGGGGGGAGGGGGGGAGGGACAGAGGGGGATGTTACTCCTTCTGGAAATGGTAGGGGCATGCTTGTGTCCCCTTTCAAACTTTGTGAAGTCCCCTTTTCCCGGACAAGAAGACTTAATTTAGACTGGGTGGCCACCATACTAGAACAGGAAGCCCCCTCTCATGTGTCTGAAGCCGTTAATCCCAAGCAGGATGCCCTGTTTGGAGATAATGAGGCCTTTTCCGGATTTGGTGGCCCCTTCATCAATCGGAAGGGTCCTTATCTGGATAAGGCGGCTTCTCTATGTATCAGAAGGCTCTCTGAGGGCACAAGAGGCCCTGTCTTGGGATGGGAGGTCCTTTCCTGGACCGGGAATATCCTTTCTGAATCAGGCCGCCTCTGTTCAAGATTTCCAATTTTGATATTTATGACACACATCAGACAACATCATCACAGAAAACGTGATCTACCCCTTGAAAAGACACTACCAAGCGTGATTCCTTGTGAGGAGGCTCCATTCTGTCTAGGCCGCCCTCTGGAAAGTCTGAAAACTCTGCCTTCCCACCAACTGACAATCCGTGGCACCGCCCCTGGCCGAGGTATGCCTGCCCCGCTCTTCTAACGACCACGTTTGTCTTGCTTCCACGAGCGCATGCCAGCCGCCGGGTTGGGCACGCTCAGTTGGGCGCCCCAGCATGGCATGCTCAACAGGGCGCCCCAGCATGGCATGCTCGACAGGGCACCCCAGCATGGCATGCTCGACAGGACGCTCCAGCATGGCATGCTCGACAGGGCGCCCCAGCATGGCATGCTCGACAGGGCGCCCCAGCATGGCATGCTCGACAGGGCGCCACAGCATGGCATGCTCGACAGGGCGCTCCAGCATGGCATGTTCGACAGGGCGATCCAGCATGGCATATTCGACAGGGCGCTCCAGCATGGCATGCTCGACAGGGCGCCCCAGCATGGCATGCTCGACAGGGCGCCCCAGCATGGCATGCTCGACAGGGCGCCCAGCATGGCATGCTCGACAGGGCGCCCATGGGTCTGACTCTGAATCTGGCATTTACTTCTGTGGTCCCAGAATGTTAGCTGAATTTGTCGCGACTGCACTGCTCGGGTAAGCACACACAACACCTGCCAGTCATGCTCTTTGACAGTCTTCCATCGCCTCAGTCTTGCATTCCTTACACCCATTCATGCTCTATCTAGGCTATATATCGCGTCACACATCTGGGCACCGAGTGTAGAAATCATGTACCGTAGCGCGAAACCACGGACGCGCCATGAATAAGGCGACTAGCCGGGTTTTTGACCAGTCACCACTGTTTATGTCGTAATTTGGACCTGAACGGAGCATATGCATTCTCGAACAAAACCAGTGCAGGGTGGAAAATGGAGGGCGCATTCCGCAGAAATATACAGTAGGGTACACATTTTTTCGCACAGTCATCCAGTTTGCGTTAAGCCCACGAATTTCAACTTAGGACAAAGCGGGGCTCCAGCGTCCGTATTGTTACGCTCTGCGGTGTAAGAGCCACAGCATACGCTCTAATGTGTGAGAAAATCTCATTCAGATGGAAATATTACCAGCGTGCTTCGTACCAGGCCACATTTTGGTTTATCAACGTTCACAACTTTCGAAATGGCCTATTCCTAGTTGATTTTAGCTCGTCGCACCAGTGTAAAAACTCTGATTAAAATTAGATTCTGAAATTGTTTTTACTCTTGCGACAAACGAAAACGGCAGCGACGAGCAATTACATTTCCGGAGGACCCTGACAATATGACAAAACGCCGGGCGCTAAGCGAAGCTTTACCCGATAGATATACTTAAGCCATCACGAAAAAAGCATAGAAGAATGAAGTACTGCTGATGTAACCCGGCCCATGACTCCCGCATGCAAACCAACACCCACCACGAGTTCACCATACGAGTCATTAACCTCCCGAAAATGCTTGGACTGGTTTCACATTAAGATATCCCGTCAAAAACGCGCCACGATTAGTTTATACATGCGAGCGCGGACGGCAGGCAGTTGCCGCCGCCCGGCCGCCCGTGAGGCGACGGCGGGGCGAGCGGCCGGGTGGCCCCCCGCGGCCGGCCGCCGACCCCAGCGCCAGGAAAGGCCGCAGGAAGCAGCGGCTCACGCCTCACGCCGCCGGGGCGTGACGGGCCGCGCGCCCTGGCCACCCCAGGTCACACTGGCGGGGGCCGGGGAGCTGTCCAGCAGGCGCGGGTGCGCTGCCGACGACCGGGGGACGGCGGTGGCCGGCGTGGGTGCTGGACGCCGGTGGCAAATGACTGTTGACCGATTGCGATCGGGTCGAGGTGGACCGCGCGAGGCCATAGTTCGACCTCCGGTCCGCGCTAGTACGCTCACAGCAGCACCGACGCCCGCGCCTCCCGCTCGATCTACAGTCAGACGCGCCACCAGCCTCCCCTCGCCCGGAACCGACCCCTGACCTCTTGGTGACGTCTCCGGCTTCCGACGCCCAGCGACGCCCTGCACTCACCGCTGTCCGATGCCGGCCAGGTGGCGGTGGTAGCAGCCGTCCAGCGGCACCGGTCGCCGCTGATAGGCCGTCAGCTCGGCGTTGGGCCGCAGCACGTGGTGAGCGTCGCACTCTTCCGGCGCCTCCGCCGCTGCGAACAGAGCGCGGGGGCGTCAGTGGGACGTCAGCGGGGGCGTCAGCGGGGCAGCAGCGAGGCGTCAGCGGGGCAGCAGCGAGGCGTCAGCGGGGCGTCAATGAGGCGTCAGCGGGGGCGTCAGCGGCGGCGTCAGCGGGGGCAGCGGCCGGCTCCGACCGTCCAGCAGCCCCTCCCGGCGCACATGACCGAGACGGCCTCCACGGCGCGGGTCAACACGCAGATGCGTTACAGTCTGCACAGCATTGTTCAGAGCCAAGCATCGTTTTTTTCAAATGGTTTGCCAAACGCCACAACGTCATGAAGGACTTGCATTCGATCTGGGGAAGAGGCGGTAGCTCGGTGTCAGCCGCTTGGTCCAGTGCCCTTGACCCCCCCCCCTCTCGAACGAGCCCTGCGACCGGCTGGAAGAGCACACGCGGCCGAGCATCCCGAGGAGCCAGCAAACCGGCGCCACAGCGGAACCGACCACCGGGGCTGGCAGGAGTCACGGACATCACAGGGCCTTCAAGGCTTTGGGCCGTACGGGCTAATGGCCATTAAAGGGCCTTCAAGACATCAGCAGAATCAGGCTCGCTTCCCTCCCGTCGGACAGCATTCCAGGGAGCTCAATCAGCGGCACAGGCCGTGCCCCGAGGCATCATTGTCGGGCCGCGCTCCGCGGGCCGCACACCGTCCGCGCGCGCCACCCCTCGCACCCCAAACCTGGCCAGGGAGCGGGCCGCTGAGGGGTGGCAAGGGCGCGACCGACCCGGACGCCGCCGGACGCGTGCCCCTGACCGCCTGCCCGGGGCACCGTACGCGATGACCCGGTCAGGTGCCCACCGTCCCGGACCGGACCGTAGCACCAGCGCCGTCCAGGACCGGACCGTAGCACCAGCGCCGTCCGGGGCCAGACCGTAGCACCAGCGCCGTCCAGGGCCAGACCGTAGTACCAGCGCCGTCCAGGACCGGACCGTAGCACCAGCGCCGTCCAGGACCGGACCGTAGCACCAGCGCCGTCCAGGACCGGACCGTAGCACCAGCGTCGTCCAGGGCCAGACCGTAGTACCAGCGCCGCCCGAAACCGGACCGTAGTACCAGCGCCGCCCGGGACGGGACCGCAGGACGGGACCGCCGCCGAGCCGGTGCCGCGGCGCGCGTCAGTCATGTTTCGCGCCGCCTTGAGTTATGCCCCCCGTTATGGTCGGATGAATTAAAATTCCATAGCGACGGTCGCACTAGCGCCCGTAAATGTCTCGTTGGTAGCGTTGGTCCGTGGCGTGACACGGCGGCGTTACGCCGTCTAATAAACGCCCGATTACGGCCGACGGGAGTCGATTCTGGCGCGGATCAGCACGCTCCTGGACTCAGCGCCGGAGCTGGGCTGGGCGCTTGAGGTATGGGCCAACCGCATGGCCAGCCAGCGGCGGAAGCTCGGAGCGCGCACTTGCTCTCGGACGGGGCGTGGCGGCAGCGGCTGGAGCGGAGCGGTGCCAACGGCCAGCTGCCAGGGGCGCACCGCGCGCCCGACGCACATGGTGCACTCAAGCAGATCGTCAGAAACATGGATGTGACGCTGATTTTGCGTTCTTCCATGCAGGAGTCTCCATACAGGACTGCTTTCTTCACGAACGTCACCACAAAGAAGTGCCCGGCATCTCTTACAGACTGAAACCGGCAAGTGCCTTCCGGTCGCTCATTCCCGTTTCACTGTGTATTGCGTTGCACTGAATTGTATCGAGCCTTTAACCCATCCATGCAGTATGGCGCTTCAAGATTTGCGCCACAATGCACAAGGTACAAAAAGGTTATAAAGCAATGCACACACACACATCATGACAAGATAGTGACAAAGGACGTGGGAACAATCCACAAGTACCTACACACATAGCAAGTAAAAATTGTTACTCAGTGGAGTTTCCCAAAAGCCGATGCAGACAAGCAAAGAGCGCGCGGCTCTCAGATCCTCAATGTTTTAAGCGGTGCACAAAAGGCGGACAGAGCCGGACGCTCGGTGACGGCACGGCCAGAGGCGGCAGGTTCCACGGGGTGGCAGCACGGTACCGAAACCCTCTCTGTATGGCCGCGAGTTTACACCTCGGCAGCTCCAGAGTTCCGGCGTCGGATGAGCGGGGGGGCCGGCGAGACACCGCGGATCGAGGGACAAACATGCGATAAATCGTCGGCGGGCTGAGCTGGTTATGAAGGACTTTATACACTCTAAAGAAGTCCCTCTCTCGCACCAGCTGCTCCGCCTGGGTCCAACCCAGGAACGCCAACGCCGGGCCGACCCTCTTCGACGCCATGCGCCAATAACGACCACTGCATGCGCCACTGCGCCACCGCGCCACTGCGACGCGCCACTGCAGCTTATCATCTTCCTAATCCAATCTAGCTGATTTTTGGTTGCTCCTCCCCACACGGGGATGCGACGTGCAATGTGGGGAATTACGTGTCTTTTCATCAACAACTTCTCCTGGTTAACACGGTGGCGAAGCAGGTAAAGCAACATCAAAAGCGCGTTGCACCTTCTGGCAATGTGGGCGGTGTAAATGTCCCAGGACATGCAAGGGTAGATGGCCACACTCAGCAGTCGAATAGCCGACGACGGTTTGCTCAACGGGCCAGCTATACTCAGGTGGAAGTCTTTAACTCCGTTGACGTTTAGACGCGTTCCGACTACGTGAAATCTGCTTTTGCTGGGTTCGTATTTCGTGAATTTGATCTTGAACCAGCGTTGTAACGTGTCTACAGAGTTTTCAACATAACATTTAGTGATCCTTCAGATTTTCGGATCGGCCGGCGAGTGATCGGGCAGCTGGGCGTCGTCAGCGCAGTCATCACCCGACAGCCCGGTAAATGACAGTGAAGGTCGTTCATAAACAAGCTGAAGAGCATCGGCCCGACGATAGACCCCTGGGGCACCCCAAAACGGACCGGCAGAGTCGCCGTCCCGCCTCTCACCAGCTGTCTCCGGCCGCCCGTATGGCCGCGGACCCATGTCGGGTCGATCCCGTGTGTGTGTGTGTGTAGGGTACTGGAGGTTTGAGTTTGCGTTAGGCGGGGTTTGAGCAGGGGCGTCTGCGGTCAAATCTAAAAATTTTGGCCGTTGCTTAATATCAAGAAAGGCCTTGACCACCTGGCGAGCATTAGCTAGGCTAAGAAAACTTAAACTATAAACAAAACTCAAGCGCTTTTACAAACGAAGCCAAGCTTTACGCCCCTGTTGTATCGTAGGTCGATAATTCTCAGAACGAGCAAAACGGCCTCGTAGTCGAAGTGCCCGTAAACACGGCACAAACGAACTCCCTAAATACAAACTTCAAATGCATAACTCAGACGGCCGCCAGTCTTCATCCATCTCCCGGGCGTCTCTCTGGCCTGTTATCAGCAGCACTGACGTCAGCAACTTCCACTTCGCTGGACCACCATGGCTCTGTGACCAAAGGCAGCCGGCGATTCTAGCCCAGGGCACTCAGCTATGCAGGTTCATTAGCAATGAGGATGCCCGCGCATCACACGACGGCATACCAAAGACTAGGGCATCCTGAAATCTTCCAGTCACCTGCATGCCGCACTGCATGCCTGCACTATCACACCCGCTCGAGGGCGAGATGTTCCCATCGCGCAAGCTGAAGATAAAGCACATAAACATCGCACGCCGCTGCACGGAGCCTCGCGGCCGAGCGCCGCGCACGCCTGCCGGCGCCCGGCCGCATGCAGCGCGAGTCAGCGCCAGTTGCGTGCTGCAGTGGATAGCAGGCCCGGCCGGGCGGACTGAGCGCGCCGCGGTACGCCTCCGTCTCACGACGCGGGGTCCAGTCGGGCTTGATCTCGCCGGCAGCACGCGGTCGACACGGACCTCCCCAGAGCAGCGCCGACAACAGCGTGGAGCTGGCGGCGCGGCGCCGCTCCGCCGCGCTGTTCGGCCCGAGTGTCGGGCCCAGCCGTGCGCGTCTGCTGATAACGGCTCAGCACGACGGGAAAGGCGCATCAGCTCCAATCAGCGAATCATCGAACGGCACCATTCCAGCAGCTGCCCCTGATACGGCGATGCAGCCAGAATGGCAGTGATGGGAAGGGAGCCTATCGCAACCACCCCGGCAGTTTCGGTGGTCGCAACACTTGTGGTTCGTGACTATAATTTCAGAGCTGCTGTGCTTCGGCGTACGCAGAAGCATTGCACGTAACCTTCCAGCAACGCATTTATCATGCATGACTACTGGGTCGACTAGAAACCGCGTACCAAGTCGTTCCAAGTGTGTTTCAACGATGAACAGCTTCCGTTAGGGTCGAGCGCCAATAAACGTTAAACTCGATTAAAGTTTTCATGCCGTGTCTGACAAATGGTCGCATGTCCAAAACCGACGGACAAAAGGCGGCATCGCCGCGCCGATCACGCGATCCTGCCACGGCACCACTACGCCGCAGCGTCCGGCTCGGCGCCGGCCAGCGCGGCGTCCCGTTACCCCGCTGCTTCGAGCGCGGCCTGGCCGTCGCAGAGGAGAGGCGCCGGCGGCCGGGCCTCTGCGCCGTGAATGGCGCGGCGCGGCGCCGGCGCCGGAGGCGGCGGCAGCGCCGGGCCGTCTCCCGGCGCCGGCCCCACTTCAAGGCCACGCCGCCATGGGAGCGGCGCACGCGGCGGCGGCGGCGGCGCTCACGCGGCCGCCGCATCGATCGACCGTGGCTGGCAGCGCGCCGCGGCCGTGTCCGGGCCTGCCGGTTGGCCGGGCCGGCCGGCCGGCAGGAGCCACCTGGCAGGCCGCGAAACACGGGCGGCCGCCAGCGCGCGGCGGCTCTGTTTACTGCCGCCGGCCGGGCCCGCAGCGCTGCCAGGCCGCCGCCGCCGCCGCCGCCGTCGCCGCGGGACAGCCCGACAGTGCGCGGCCGCGCGGCCCGTGCACAATCGATGCGCGCCGGTGCCCAGCGCGACGGCTCTGGCTCTGGCTCTGGCTCTGGCTCTGGCTCTGGCTCTGGCTCTGGCTCCGGCTCCGGCGCCGCGCCGGCCGACGGCGGTTGACTCTGACGGTCGGCGCGTGAGTAGCTGAGTCAGCTGGCCGGGTGCCGGCGAGTAGCCGGGCGTCGCACCGGGCGGCGAGGTGTGCCGCCGCCGGGCCGGCCGCCAGGGCCGCTCCCGCTGCCGGCCCGTAGTACGCGCCCGGCCCAGCCGAGCCGGCCGCACGGAGCCGAGTCGGTCGGAACGCGAGGCACGTAGGCGGCGCGCTCGCCAGCCGGCCGGCCGGCAGTTTGCAGAGGTCGTGACGGCCCTGGCGCGCGGGTCGCGCCTCCAGGTCGTCCTCACCGTGGCACGCTTCCGGCACATGCTCCCCTTCCAAAGCGATCTTCGCTGGGATTACGTGAACACGTCTCCTCTATACATTGCTTGTTGTACAGCATCACTTAAGCAGGAGTGAATCTGTGTTATCGTTTTCGCATCAGACATGGCATTTACCCTAGCCAGATCTAATACTTCGGCCATACGTGCAACTATTCGTTTGGCACAAAATCTGACGCACGGTGGCAAGTGGCGGCCTGAAGGCGGGCCAGCGTCTGAGAGCAACGCCCATCAGGCGCTCTGCCACTCCCAGTCCCGTCTGAGACCACGCCGGGGCAGACCAACCCCTGGTCGAGTCCGAGGAGCACGCCCCGATGCCAGCGACAGGCTGAGAGACGGGGCGCCCTGTCGGCCGCGGCGGGCCCGGGCGCCCGCACACCGCCGTCAGCGCCGATGCCGACCGGGGAGGGAACACACGTCCGGCCAGCGGCGAGGTGAGCAAGCCAGTCGGTCAGCGTCACGGGCCGACCCGTGCTGCCAGTCCAGCAGCGCTGACCGGCTCTTCCTCCTTCTAAACCACCGATCAGCCCTCACCGGACGGGATGGCAAGGTCAGCACGGCCGCCACCCTGCGCCGGCCCAATGTCCAGCGCTGCTGGCTACGCAGGGCACGCGAGGATGCCTCGAATGGGAGCAAACATCTGTCATTCACATTAAAGAGCAAATGTTCTCGGACCACACAACGGTACATAAAAATAGACAGATGTGGTTCTCACCACGTACAAAGACGGTATCTGAAGCCTGGATACCGATCTCAGAGCGTCCGAGCCGCCGTTACCTTAACATGGTGTCAGTGTATCTGTCTGTCGCGGTGATGACCGATGTGTGAGACAGGCAAGAGAAGCTTTCAGCCACTGGTTTTTCGGCATCATTAGTTGAAAATTCTAAATTCTTGTACTGAGTTATCGACCTCCAATATGCCAGGAGGTCCTATTTCCATGACGTTAACAGCGACCGTGCTAATCAGGAGTGACCATGGCCACAGCATGCAGCGTCCAACACTGCCAATTCAACCAATGCTTGCTCTAGGACTTGGCTTAGCCATCAATTCCTGGTAAAGTGAAAGTTAATAACTCAGCGCAAAGGCTCTGAACTTAAAACGCTGATCCAGACGCTCAGCTGAAAAGGTTTGACTGATTATCCTGTCTTTGAACAACTGGTGCATGATGCATAAGCTCAACTTGTCTTGGCGCGGGATCACCAGATGACGACGACCATGGCTGATTGTCTGTTTTGACAAGCTAATTGGACAGCCACCTCGGTTTGTTAACGGCACCGGCAATATTTCCGCCGCACGGGTTCGTGGCAAACGATAATTCTTGCTGCTCAAAGCTAACTGGATCTATATGATCTGAATGGAATTCATCTGGGATGAAGCCGATCACAAATAAATGACATAAGATAAGAAAGACACGAAAAGCCTATGTGTTTTTATTGTTTGTTTTTTTAAACGACTTTGTCGGTGAAGGGAGCATTGCTCTGTTGGCGATAAAGTAAAATAAAATAAACAAATAAACAAATAAGCAAGTGACTTGAAATGGTCAGGAGCGTTATGAATATATTTTACAATGATGTTCGTGGATTCTAACCTCGGATTTTCCCCTTATGACTTCAGAGTTCTGACGTTGACAGTCATCAATTGTCGATATACCAGGAGGTACTGGTTAAGCGAAGTTCTCTCAAGTAAACATTGGCGTACTTACGACGATACGCACAGCTCCAAAACGGCCATTACCGAAAATGTAGCCCATGTTTGCTTGACGCCGTTCAACTAGTACCTCCGATGTACTGACGGTCGATAACTGTAAGGATGACAATTCTGAACCTATGACACCAAAAACAAGATGCCCAATGCCATTCTTGCTTTTATCAAAATATTGTTGTTTCGCCCATCGGCTTGCACCTATACCATAGAAGCTTTCCTCACGGGTTCAGAACTCACCCCTCCACCGAGCCTTAATATCGGCTATCTCGTGGTCTCCGTGTCAGCACCAAGGCGCTTCAGCCGCCAGCGCAGCAGCACAAGACGGAAATTCTTCCGTGGCTACACACTCTCACATCAAATGCTGCCTGCCTGAGTCCGCTCGAAGCAGCGCCGGTTCAAGTCCGACGAACTTCAGGTCCGAAGACCCGGATGTGAGCAGCGAGTGGCGCAAAAATAAATAAAATTGTAGCGTGCAGCACCTGTTAGCGTCCGCTTGCGGTCGAGATGAAGGGCGCCGGGCTTCTTATTGATCAAGCAGACGAGCAAACTTGAAAGGCTGCCTTGTCTCTCGTCTTGTCGTGTCGTTATTGCAAAATAACCTGAGGTATGTGTTTGACAATGCCGCCGCTGACAGGCAATTGGAGAAACACGTAGTTCGAGCGGGCTGCTGAATACCCACTGGGCCTATCGAACATCTCCATTGGTGATTTTGAACGTCTGTTGCAGTGGAAGCTCATGCACGCGCACAGACCGCATGCCGAACACACATACATACCGCATGCCAAACACGTGCACATACGGCATGCCAACGCCATTTCACTACGGTTTCAATTGTCAGTTTAGACCACGTGTGTCGTCGGTATCGTTCGCAGTTCCGTCACAGCACTGCGTGCACTTGCGTGATGGTCTGGTGCCGGTACACGTACCAGCACCGCACCACTGTCGCGAAGCTAACGCTGACTGTACTCGAGGGCACGTACAACCGGAAGATCCGGCCAGCACCAATCGCCAGGTTAAACTAATGGACGCGGCGATCACTTCGAGACCGCTGGTGCGGCCGGCCCAAACGTCGGCTCAGTCCACTTTCATGCCGATCTTCTGAATACGCAGATAAGAGCGCTCGTGTTCATGACGTGTCAGAACGATCAAGGTTTTCGAAGCACTCGAGCCCATTTCGTCCAGCTGCCGCCAGCGATTACCGCCGGAGCTGGCGTTGAGCCAGCCGACGACGTGCGACGGTCTTGATGCATGCGGACATTTCGATCGGCCACCGGAAACATATCACACCTGTAGGACCATTCCCTTACGGCGTATCACGTGCTTCTGCGTTCGCAAGGCACCAAAACGCGTAAAACTTCAAGGACTAATTTTGTGGCGCGCTCTCATTGGTCGTGTTGAAGCCATTAATTATGGCAGGAATCGTCGACAACAGGACTTTACGGCGATATGTGTGTTGCATTGCAAACATTTATCTGTGCAGAACATTACAATGCACATGACAGCTACATGGCAACTTGTAAATGTGTTTTCAACAGCCGGTGCTTGAGCGGCTTAAACCAATTTCACCAGTTTCACGCATAGTTCGAGAGACTACGACAACGGAGCACACAGCGTTTGTCGGTGCAATTTGCACATTCGAAGAAAACCGAAACAACGGCATTCAAGCTCGGTGACGATTGCAAACACCACCAAACTAACGAGCTAAACTTAAGCGCATCCTGGCCGAGCTACAAAGAACAGTGAAGGTAACAAAAACTCCAGTTTAAGTTAAGTAATAAAAAAACGAACATTGGGTGTGAGAAAACTGCCAACTACACGCAGCCAAAACTGAAACCCATGAACACATGACCAGAGAAGACAAGGCCTATCCCTGAATGATTACGCTATCGTAGGTCGATAAAAAGCGATGTAAATAATCAGGTGTACAGTTTTTGTCCCGGACACCATATTCATTGGGCTTCACAGCAAGGTCTAATGTTGGCTGCACAGCAATCGTCATGCTCCCAAGCAAGTAAGCACGTCAGGTGACCAAAATCGGCATAGCGCAAATAAAAGGGTTAGTACATGCGTCGAAAAATAGTTTCGTGGTCCACCGCCCAAATCAGTCAAAAAATGCGGCAACCGTGCAACAGTCCTACACACAAAACGAACCTCACATACATGCCAGCGTCTCCGTCCTGCTCCCCATTGTATGTGTGCTGCGGCGCGCTGCCAACACCAAGGAACCCTATCTCGCTGGCTTAGGGGTAAGGGGTACCTCGCGCGACTCTCGGCCAGCAGCTACTCACCAGTGCCGATCTGCAGCCGGACCAGGTCGGCAACGGTCACGTCCGTGAACGAGGTGATGCAACCGAACTCCTTGACGATGAAGTCGAGCAGAGCGGCGCGCGGACGCGCCGGCTGTCGCGTCACCGACACGGCCGGCAGGTCCGTCCGCTCCACCGCCGACAGCTTGGTCAGCTGCGGGAAAAGGCAGGCGACAGTCAGGGGCGGCGGCGAGGGCGGGGAGCTTGGCCGCAAACAGGCAGGCGTGTAGTCAACAGCCGACGGCAGTGACGAGGACACGAAACGGAGTCAGCGCTTCGCCTCCAGACATCGACATTGCGGCTGAACTCCATTCTCAAAGATGCGTTGATGTATCGCGTCGGATGCCTCGCCGTCACCAGCCTGACCAATGCTCCAACGAGGCGTGTTCGGCCCGGCAGACGTCGTGATGGGCCGTGCACAGGCGCGCGCGCCGCCGCGCCACCCCCGCGCCCGCTCGCGGAAAGCCCGCCGCGACTCGACGCCGGCGCCGGCGGTCACGACGCGCGGGGGCGGGGCGGCACCGCCTCGCCCGCCGGCGCCGCCACCGCGGCCGGCCGCGCCGCATCCGTATGGAGGTGTTCATCGGACGCCTCGGCGCCGGCCGAATGTCGGCCGGCCGCTTACATAAGCGGACCATTTCCCAGGAAGTGGGGGGGCGGCCGGCGCGCTCCGCGCGCACAGCGGTCGTCGCTCGGCGATCCCCGGCGAGATATCGGGCGGCCCTGGGCGACATTAGCAAGTCATGGCGGCGCCACCCTCGGCTCGGTATGCCAGTGACGCTGCATGGCAAGTGCCAGCACATGTACCCCATGACAGGTAAAGCGGACGGCCGTGGCCGACCGGCGGCCGTATTAAGGCCGCACGCGACCGCGACTGACCGGCACTCTACTCTTCCGGGACTCGTCGCCGGCCGGTGGGGCACGCCACGGCCGCGGAGTCCGCCGCCACTCGTCCGCTGCCATCGGCCGCGCTTCGTCGGATCAAAGGTTTGCGCCAGCACCGAATCGATGACCTCACGTCTTCAAGAACACGGGCCACTGGCCTGCCTGCGGAGCTCGCCCTTCCGGCCGCATGCCCGCACGCTCCAGCACCACACGCATACGTGAAACATGGCAGACGCGTACTGGACGAGTTTGTGACGTCACTACACCCAGCATGAGGGATGGCGATGGTCATCATAGTACTTAAGTCGCAAACTCGCGCGGCGTCATTAGTGCTGACCAGGACTGGTGAAGTCCGCCAAGCTATACAAGGAAAGTGCACAGAATGACGAAACCAATTACTTTCGTTGGAAATGGCGCATTTTGTGAGCGACACCGGGCTCTCGGACTCTTTTCGCAGTTACGGGTCTCTTCGTAATCTGAGACATATCTGTAAACCTCCCATTCATGGATGGACACTTTCTTATTTCGGTCACCTTCGGGGCTTCTGCGAGGACATTTCGGTTTCCTTGGCATCTTTTGCCAATGTGATTTTGATATATTGGCTGAAAATATAAATTTGTGGGACATGTTTTGGTTGTTGCACCAACTACGGCTAAGAATACAAAATTCGAGCGTCGGTGTCTGAATCTGATGACCTTTCTGATGTGGCTGCCATCTTAAATACCAAATAACTACGAACTGAAAGGCGCCAAGAAAACATATGTTTACAATGAGATGTGAACTGTCCGAACACTAGTGATGAGCAGGAACTGGCGAAATTTGGATAACGATATCTGCTTTTGCTGTGCAACAATCTGTGCTAGGGGTACCGGTGGTGTAGTGGTTAACGCATCTGCGTTAACCACCGCACGTCTGGGAAACCAGAGGTACGGGGTTCGATTCCCCGCGGTGCCCGCCCTTCCTGCCAGGGTGAGAGGCAGGCGACGCCATATAGCCTCAGCAGTGCGTCGCAAAGCCAAAATGACACACAGACACACAATCTGTGCTCCCAAGCCATCGCATAAACGCGTCAACGGCACGGCAGCAACTGCTCCAAACTGTTACGTCATGTTGCACAATCCGCGTGCCATCATGGGTCCTTGTCATGCGTGTTGCTGTAAGCGGAGGCATGCAAACAGCTTCGCCCATGCTTTGCAAGCGGAGGCGTGAATGATTATGTTAAGCCATGCCTCAGCGAAAGCCGGCGTGCACGGACATTTTCCTTTGACTTCGTCGGGGAAATGCATGGCGGGACGCGAGCCATTTATCTACTCGGCACAACCATCAGTCATGTCTTGGTGGGACGCACCATTCTTGCTTCCTTCACGAGAATAAACCAGCCTCTAACACACACCAGACAGAGCCCACAATACACATCGTGCATTGCTCGTAACCTGTACCGAACAGCCTCCGCCCAAACATCGCGGGGCCCCAACCACTAGCATGTCAAGGCTGTGTCCAGCTCCTAAAAGCCGGGCGCGCTATGACCAGCGGCCTCTGCATCGGCGGCTATCTCGGCGACGGTCTGAGGCGGGCGGGAGGCCGGCGCATCGCGCGCCACGGCCGGCGGCGCCGCGCGGGCCCGTTAGAAGCGCGCCGCCGTCCCGGCGGCCGGGGACGCGCTCGGCCGGGGCGCCGCCGTCGACAGATGGTCCGTCCGGCCGCCGCTGCGCCGGCCGGCCCGGGCCGCTACCGGGGCTGGACGAGGCATCCAGCTACCGGGGATGGGCGAGGTCAACCGGCTACCGGGGCTGGACGAGTCGTACGATACCAGCAGCTGGACTCGGCTACCGCGGCTGGACGAGTCATCCGGCTACCGGGGCTGTATGGACATCCGGCTACCGGGGCTGGATGAGACATCCGGCTACCGGGGCTGGATGTGACTACCGGGACTGGACGAGTCACCCGGCCACCGGGGCTAGGACCAGGTATCCGGCTGCCGGGGCTGGACGGGTCATCCGGCCACCGGGGCTGGACGGATCATCCGGCCACCGGGGCTGGACGGGTCATCCGGCCACCGGGGCTGGGCGAGGTATCCGGCTGCCGGGGCTGGTTGCTCCGCTCCGCTCCGGGCTGAGCGAGCTCCTCAGTCGCTCGACTGCGGGGCCGAGCCGCCCAGCCACTCAGCTGCCGGGCTGAGGCAACTGCTGAGTCACCTGCCGGAGCTGAGCGAGCCGTTCGGCCAGCGTGGTTAAAAAAGCTGTTCAAACACCCGTCCTGTGAGGACCGCTCAGTTAGCGGGAAGGCGCCAGCCACTCAGGGCGGCTGCTGGGACGGGGTCGGCTGCGCTGCTCCTCCCCTCCACCCCTCGCATCAGTTGTAATGGGCGAGCACAGCAGTCGGACTTCACCGTACATCGGAGCTTTTCAACGCGCTCAGCGGATAAGACTGTAAGGCGGGGTTGCGTGCAGCCCGTCAGTACTGACACCCACGCAAAAGCACTTCCATCGAGCTTATGCGTGTGTTCCGAACAAAAAAGTCTGAAGCCGAAATGCCTGTTCTGGCTAAACGAGTCATACCGGCAACTAACCCGCTCCCGAGGACGTTGGTTTGGAAAGGCCAGAGCCGTCACGCAACTCTGCAGCTTTGTTACATAATGATAATGTTCACTGAGACGCAAAAATTTATGACAACACTGATGGACGAGGTATGTTTAGTTTATGACAGCACTGGTCACTGGTCAACACTGGTTCACGACAACTTAGGTTTATGACAACACTGATGTATGCCGCAATACCGAAAACATGCCGCAGGCTTTATTTTCATCTTGGACGATATCATTGGCTTTCAGTTTCCTGTGACGGCGGTGGGCATATCAAAAGGAAAAACGTCATCTCCAGCACGCCAATGACTGCATTTTGTATAATCACGTAAAAAGGCCAAGTAAGACAACAGGTTCATCAATCAACGCCTTGCTTAAGGTGAGTCCTGGGGTGAACCGATGATGGTCCGAATATTAAAGTCCGCCGCCTTTTGTGTGCCTTCTCGTTACCTTAAAATCATTACTGGCGTGCCTGTGAACGTGCAACGCCTTGTCTGGATATCTACCATAACGTTTTCAGCCACACAAATAATTATTGCGGCGCACATCTGCAAATTTAATGCGGTAGTCTTAAATCAGTCCACAGTCTATCAGTTTCCGCCGCCCCACGAAAATCGTAAGGCTCTGCCCTCGGGCAACTGGGAAGGCGCAGCGACTATAACGAGCGAGGCAGGGCTGGCCGTGACGCGCGCCTGTTTCGCCTAAAAAAAAATCAGCGCTGAGTAGGACAGGGCAATAGCCACCAGCCCGAGTGCCGCCAACCCACCGAGTCACCCCTGCTCCCCACGGAACGCGGAGCAGAGCACCGTGTTATGCCTCCTCTCCACGGAATACAATGCAAAGAGCACCGCGTCATGCCTCCTTCCCGCGGAACACGGAACACAGCACTGCCAACCACTGCAAGCGAAAATCGACACGTGGCTCCGGATGGCTCTGCTGTTGGAGATAACTAGTGGTTCGTCTACGGGTACTCGCACGCCGCGCTTGAGTATTTAGTGCTTTTAAAGAGCTTGTCATCGAGCGATTTCAACAGAGGACACTCGGCATCTCGTGCATCATCTGAGAGACAGATACCGCTGCGTTTATTCCGAGCCGGCCGCCACTACGAGTTCAATTCGACAGGTAGCTCGTACCGATTGACAGCTCGACGGGTTTGTGGTGAGACAGTCTTTATGCTAAAATGCCACGACAAAGCCGGACAGTGCCGGACTGACCTTTTCGTACAGATGCCATCTGACCTTAATGTAATGAATGGCCTATATACACTGGTGCTGACAGCTCAGATGTCGTGACTCCGCCCGAGGACCGCCGAGCTCCGCGAGCCAGGCCCTGTTCCCCAGGGGACAGTGGCAGCGGTACATGAGATGAGGATGCACGACCTGCGGCATGACACCAACGCCGCCTGCAGCACGACTGACGAGCTGTGGCCGTCGCAGTGGGCCCCCGCTCAGTGGGGCCCCAGCGGCGCCTAACGCCCCGACATGGCCGCCGCCGCCGCCGCCGCCGCCGCGCAGAAGAAGGGCCGCGTGCCGTCCCCCTTCCCCCTCCCTCCCCCCCCCCCCCCCGACGTTGGTCAACAGGACACCAGGCTCTTCCAGCTCAGGTGACCGGAGCCGCGCGCGCCTCGCCGCGTCACGCGTAGCCAGGCCGTCACCGGGCTTCCAAACACGACCGCGACGCGCCGCTGCAGGCGCACCGGCGGCCGGAGGTGCGTGCTCCGGCCGCCCGACGGACGACCGGCACGCGCACCACCCGGGCCCTCCGCGCAGCAAACAACGCCCAGGCTAGTCAGGTGGGCGGCCGGCGGCCACCGCTGACGGTGGCGGACTGTACGGCAGCGGACGCCTTTTGTTGAATGGCCGCTATCGCCCGCCAACAGGCGAAACGTCTCGAGACTCACTTGAAAAACAGCCAGCCGGCTGAATGGTGACACATATAAGTGCATAATCATGTACCTGAATCTCTGGTCAGATAAGCGTCGAAGAGCTAATGGAAAATGGGATTCGTCAAAGTGACAGACGGCGTGCCGTGACACGCGTTATGCACGAAGACCCGCCCGTGACTAGACGCTTAAACAGCATGTGACTTGGGACCCTATGGATCGGAGCGTTTAGCCAGCTCCGATAATGCCTTAATCCCGCACGGACCAAATGAAGACATCAAACGTCATCTAGCCATTTAAAATCCAATGGTGCCACCTGAAACATGTCGTGAGCACAACTGTTATATGCGATGGTGCACGTGTTTTCAGCTGACATGCAATGCCCCATTTTCCCAGGGTTTTCAAACGACCTAATTTTCCCGTACGTTGTGTGCGTCCCGTACGTTGTGTGCGTATGGCGCTTACATCCTAATGCACAGCACATTTGCCTTGCTAGCTGCAGCGACGAGGGCGTCTACGCGCCGGCCATCCTTGGCCAACGTCGGAAGCTGAAGTGCACGGCTAAGGCCACGCAAAAGCCTGGGCACGGCGCCAGCGCCTTCAGGTTACGTGCTCGCCATAATCATCTGTGCTCTACCTGATGCTGAATCGGCACCCCGCGCGTGGATGTGCCCGCGCAGTCCGTGACGTCTGCTGACGCTTTCCAACCTGCCCCCCCCCCCTCCCATCCCCCTCCCCCATGTACAAATGCGTAGTTCTACTATCCTTTTTTCTGCCGTCCCTGAACCACTTGAGGGTCTGCCACTTGTGGTCTACCACTTGGGGTCTGCCACTACGGAGGTCTGCCGCTTAGGGGTCTGACACTTGGAGCGTCTGCCGCTTGGGGTCTGCCACTAGGGAGGTCTGCCGCTTAGAGGTCTGACACTTGGAACGTCTGCCGCATGGGGTCTGCGGTTTGGGGGTCTGCGACGTACCAGTTGCTATACCAGCTTCTAGAACCGCCTGCGCCCGGCAACAGCGTGGCCGCTCGCTATTTCGAAATGACGATCTCGACAAATTGACCTTTTGTGGCGCATCAAGGTATTCGCCAAGTCGATAATGCGCCATCATGAGAGGCCACTGACCTCCAGGTGGGTCTCCTCACCGCCAGGCAGCCTGTGACAGCGTTGTCCACACCGTCACAGGTAAATAAAATTATCCGGTAGTATCCGAGTCCTCAGAGAGTAGCCGGGAGTTTCTTAAAATCTCTAGAGCCTCAGTTAAGTCGAATCGCATCTGGGAGTCTCGGGGAACCTCATTCTTGGACAGCCTGAAAACTACATGCTTACCTACGGTGGGAAGAACGCAGCGAGGAATGGATGGGTCCGCTGGCATGCAGCACACGCACAGCAAGCGCAGTCACGCATATCGAACAGCGCCGCTCTCCCGTTCACTCACCACTATCTGGAAGGCGGTAGCGTTGTCGAAGGCGCCGTTACCCAGGACAGTCCTGCGGACACACAGGGGTTCGCTGTGTCACGCAAACGCTTCCTTACACACGCGAGGAATGTGCAGTCACAATGTCTCAGACCTTCGCCCCTTCCCACCACCCTGCCTGCCGGTACCCTATCCGATCATGTGCCTGCTTGATGCGCGTTGGTCTCCACTACTCGCTGTGAATGGGGAGGTATAAGCTGCATTGACCCAGCTAACCACGCCGAGCCGAGCCGAGCCGAGCCGAGCCGAGCCGAGCCGAGCCGAGCCGAGCGGCGGCGCCGCACGCAGCAGGCACGCGTCTTATCTGATCAGGCACCCGGACGTGGCCGAGCTCAGCACCTGACCCGTGTCGGCGCGGCGCCGGCTGACATGTGCCGGCTGTGACCCCGGCGGCCGCCGAGGGTCTGGCAGCGCCGGCCACACGGCCTACAGAGGGCAGGTGCCGCTGGCCCGGGCCGCCGGCCAAGTACAAGATGTTTTGTCGTTGGCTGGCTTGCCAGCTGATGGAATGTGGACAGTTGGGCGGCAGTGTGGGTTCGAGGATATGCCGTCAATTTCAGCTGACACGATTTCCAAATCCCCAGTGCTGTTAAGCAAGTCAATAAAACGCGGCTGGTTTTTCAACTGCGGTATGTACCAGCACGAAACATCAAACATATCAGCCTACGACGGCTCACCGAGTCGTTGAGCCGTCGTAAGCTGTATGCCTTTCACGGTCGCCTTACCTAACTTTGGCACGGACATGCGGGCTTCCGGGTAAGGTTTGTTATGTAATGATTTAAAGCCAGCACAAGATTGCTTGCTCTAATCAAGGTGATAACCAAATGCTAGACGCCAAACGCCACGTGGCATCTGAGCAACGCTGCAGACGACATTCACTCCCCTTGGTAGCATCGCACCGTCGAAAGCGCCGCCAGATGCGTACTCATGACCAGTCCTTTGGCCAGTGACGCCCGGCGAGCTCGCGCCAGATCTACCATCGCCATCCCTACCCGGCCCACCCCAGTCTGCGTGCCGACAGCGCGGAGCCGCGCGTGGCGTGGAGCCGCACCGGCCGCGCCAGCCACTCACCAGTCAACCGACGACGAAGCGTCCAGGATCAGCACGATATCCCTGCTGACGGGGGTGCCCTCGGGCGGCGGCAGAACCCGCAGCACCAGCTTCGGCCGATCCTGCCGGCGACGGACACATGCTAGAATAGAAACCCTCCACTCCAGGCGCGTGGCGTGGAGCACCGAGCGGTCGGATGAATGTGACGTATGAATGGCGTACACATGACGTGTATCCGCGTGCGTGACACACACACGGGCGGACGGCGTCCCACCTCAGTGCACTGCTGTGTCGGCGCAAGCCTTGGCGATTGTAGCGGACCTTTATGACCTAGTTCACCACAAACACATGACAACAGACAGGGAGATGTGGTGTGAAAAGACAGCATTGCCTCGTGTGGCGTGTCGTGGGGTTCGCACTGTCGTATGTTCACTCGATATAGCGTATCCAAAATGCACGCTGACACGCAAGCCCTGCAACGGTTTGGAGACAGGGCATGGCAGTACGCTTTTGTTTTTGTTTTGTTTTTTTTTTGCCGGTGTTAATGTAGGGAACCTCAAGCGGCACAAGGTCTACCTGAAAAGATAGGCGGCACCCGGGAAATATATTGATTCCCAATTAGAACCATTTGATAAACATGAGTCGTGCATCGCAGTACTTACGAAGGCGATTATGAGCAAACAAAAACACATTCCATTCACAAAGCCTCGGATTATCGCACAATGAAAGGAGAGTCGTAATAAACTTAACCTCTTTGAAAGCCCTTCAGGCAATTCAAACCCGCTATCGACGCAATCATTTCAATAAATGTCATCCAGCACACAGATCCCAGGCTGAACTCAACACAGCCGATCGTGCGTGCCACAGACAGCGGCGGACAAACGAGCGGCGCCGCTGCCCCAGCGGTCAGGAGGCGAACGCGGCGCCGGACGGCCGGCCGCGGCGCATTGATTGCGGCCAGGTTCGCCCTGAATGAAGCTGGCCGAAGCGCACCGCGCCCGATCGATGAGCGGCCGGCGGTCCGGCGCGGCTCGCCCGCGGCGCCCCGCCGGGCCGGCGCACGGCACCTCGCCGCACGGGCCACGCGGCGGACGTGGCCGGCGTGGCGGCGCGGGGCACGTGCGCCGCGGCACGTCGCCACCGCCCGGCGGCCTGGTCTCGCCAGTCCGCGCCGGCCGGCTACACCTAGCCGGAGTCATCTGCCACTCAGCAGCTGCGCATAACCCACAGCCGGCGCGCTGACGCATGTGCCGTGTCGTCAACCCGCCAGGCCGACGCGGGGGAACGCGCGGCGCTGACACTGCCGCCGAAAGGCACAAATGCCTACCACCCGGCGGCACCTGGGCGTACCCTGACGCGCCCTACACATGTGCTTCTCCCCCACAAACGGGGGCACCCGGCGGCGTCGCCACGACCTCGCGTCGTCCGATGCGGCGGCGGAAGCGGCGCGCCGCCGCCATCCCGTGTCGATGATTCATGATCTGGTTACCGCCGCCAGATGGCGCTCCCGGCATCGACGCAGGTAGGCCTTAATCGTCCCCGGCGCTGTGCGGCACCCCCAGCCGCAATTACGAGCGGCGGGCGGCGTGTGCTCACCTGGGGCGGCAGCGTGTCGCGGCTGCTGTACTTGGTGGACGGGCGCATGGCGTGCACCTCGCGGCCGTCGGCCGTAACGCAGCGGCTGAAGCAGCCGAACGCCGGCACCGGCTGGTGGTACTCGGCCGAGAAGTCCGGCGACGCCAGCCGGGTCACCACGCATAGCTCCGGACCACCTGAAGACGGCGGCAGGGGGTCAGGGCGCGCCGCCATTACGGCAGCGCTGGAGAGAGGGAGGGAGCGGGTCACTACTCCGGGCCACGCGGCACCGGGGAAATGGAACCGGGCGCGGGTCACAGCTGCGTAGAATTTCAGCTCGGCGCAGCGGCGCTCGATGGTCCCGCTGCGCACATGGCGCCGCAGCTACAGCGCACGGGCCGGCGAGTGGAGCGGGCCCGCCGGTCCCACGCCCGGCTCCGCGGGGTCAGGAGGGCGGGCCCGACAATCGATCAGTACGGCCGAGCGATGAAGGTAAGCGTCCGCGCTCTCGCCCCCGCCCGCCGACCGCTCATCAAACATTTAAAAAATGAGAAATGTGCCGCCTAACGCGTCATTGTGGGCGGAGACCACACGCACGCACGCACGCACGCACGCACGCACGCACGCACGCACGCACGCACACACACACACACACACACACACACACACACACACACACACACACACACACACACACACACACACACACACACACACACACACACACACACACACACACACACACACACACACACACACACACACACACACACACACACACACACACAATTTATATATATATATATATATATATATATATATATATATATACACCGACATATCCATACACTCACACACACGCACGTAGAGCTGTGGATGGAGTACGGTCCAGAGGTCGGACAATGAATTAGGGAGCCATTTGTGTAAGGACGCGTTCAGTCCGTTGGACGAGGATGAGGAAGAAAGACAACACTGAAATAAAGGAGTGCACCGGTTTTGATAGGTCCTTCCAATTCGTCTCTAACGTCAGGGGCAAGGCAAGCTGCTTTTGGTCTATTGTCTTCGATGGCTTGGAACACTTGGATGGTTTCATTATTATGTGTCCTGTGCGCAATGAATGTTGACATTTGTCATCTCCAGGAAGTCTTAGCACCATACCACTTGGATGGCTTGGAACACTTGGATGGTTTCATCATTATGTGTCTTGTGCGCAATGACTGTTGACATTTGTCATCTCCAAGAAGTCTTAGCACCATACCACAAGTAGGTCATTGATTCAGAATTGCGTACAACCTAGTAGCGCAGTTTTGCTCACACGCGTTATATGGTTATGTCGGACTCAACTGCCCCAGCACCACGCGTCAGTGCGATGCCATTAGTGCGATGCCGCCAGTGCGATGCTAAATGCGATGCTAAATGCGATGCCTGCTGTCCCGTACCGACTCCAGATGTGGCGACCGGCATGCGTGGTGCCCGGTCTCTCCAGTCGTGCCCGGTAACCACACGCCTCGCTGCGGCACACGACCTGTACCAACGGATCATCATGGCTTCTAGGTCGCGGTCGGAGCAAATGATGGGAAGAAGACCCTCAAGCCGAGGTGAACACTTGGTTCACATAGGTCTATATGTAGCGTAGGCACCATATGGCGTGGAAAGGCAATGGATGCGGTACGGGGTCAACAGAACGCCGCCGGCACTGCTTTTCAAAAGGAGTGAGATCTAACAGCTATTTTTCGGTCGCGTGTTACATGTCCATGTATAATGAATGACAGCATTTGCTATCTTTAGGAAAATACAAATAACTACAATTATACGAACGCCAGTACTTGCCACTTGTTAGAAGCCTGATAACTGGGCCCGAGCCTTAAACCCCGGCCAAGGATCAGAATCCTCAGACTTGGGGAAAGCATCCAACCTGCCCAGCGGTACGAACCATTTTTAATGTGTGAGGCTTGCAATAGCCCGAGCAAAACTGACGCGATGGCAGCCCACAAACACATCCAGCCACCTTCCACGGAGCGGTTGCGGCCCTTCCACTGACGCTCCTCCCACCCCGCCAATCCGCGCGCGGGGGCGCATTCAAATCCGGCGCATTCCGGGCGGCGCGATCGCCCCGCAACTGGACGGGCCACTGCGCCGCGCCGCGCCGGCATTCCCAGAGAGGAAGTGCCGCGCGCATTCCGCGCATCGCCTTCCCAGCCGTCGATCACCGTGCAAACAGCCGCCGTGCACTGGGAACGACCGGCTGGAAAGCCGCGACCGCAGCAGTGCGGAGCGCCGGCAGCGTCGCACGCCTACGCCGCGCCAGGCCACGCCGCGGCGCGCCGGAGCGTCGCACGCCCACGCCACGCCAGACCATGGTCCGTGCCTGGCCGCGGCAGGCCACGCTATGCCGCAGCAGGTCGCGCCGGGGGTGCGGCACGCTCGCGCTACACCACACCGGAAATATCGCATCTTCATGCCACACCGGGCCGTGGATCATGCCGAGCCATGTCGCGGCGTGGCAGGCCAAGCCAGCGGCACCGCACGCCCGCACCGTGGCAGGCCACCCCACGCCGGCAGCCATGAAGAATGCATCTAGCATCCGCTCACTATGGCGGCCTGCAGACGGCACTCGCCCGACATTTACGCTCAAAAGCGGCTGTATATTCATGAATGGAAGTAATGTATTGGCAAGTAGCTAGGGACGGAAAGCGGCCGCCTCAAGAATGTGTCGTGTAGCCATTTCCGTTATGAACTATGCGACTGATCGCAGCGTTGCCGCAGGTGACTTAGTGATCAGCAGCTACCCGTGTTCTGCCCTCTTGCCCTCCGGATCAGCGAAATATTCGTTCCAAGAAGGTTTGAGACATTCCATTAGACCTGCGGTGCCGAGTCGTTTGTGAAACATAGGAGAGAGATAATGGACCAACATCATCTTTTCAAGGCATAGCTGGCTTAGAGAAGTCGACCAGGAGCATTTTATTCCATCAGTTGGTAACATGATAGAACCATGCTCTGGTGAGTTGGTCCTTGCAGACCTTGAAAGCTAATCTTTTCCCGGAAAGATGGTTGCCGCGCCGGCTCATTACGTTTAATGTGAAACGGCTGTTGGTGCAGGCCAGGAAAGCCGCATCAGCGGATAATTCCGCGCCGTGCAAGATGTCATTCACGTTTAAAGGATGATGAGAAGTGTATAAATTTCGTTGAATTTCACTAGCCACATCTAACTGAGAACGCTTGCCGTTCATGGAGCGAACATATATCAGCAACAGCACATCACGCCAACACGACCCACAAAACATGTCTATTTCTCACGGTCATAACCACGTCATCCGCGAACAGGCACCCAGAGGTTATGAACATCTGGTTGCGGTCGTACATGCGCCCAGCCCAGAAACATGCCTCGCCAGCCTTTACCACCGTAACAGGTTTGAGAAGCTCGCGTCAGGGCGGGACCGCTGTCAGATCAGTCACCCGCTTGCCAGTCCGCGGCCATTTACTCATCACCAGAAATGTCCGGAAATAATACCGGGAAATTATACCAGGAAAGCCGCATAGCCAGCACCAGTCGTTGGTGGCTTTAGGTGGCGGCACTTCGCGAGAGGTTTGAGAGCCCGCCCCCAAACTGGAAATGTTGACGAACACGTCCCTTCCCGCATGCACTTGGAAACACGGGTCATACGACATCATCAACCTCATTTTCTTCAAGCCACCAGCCAAGATATAGCTTGCATATATATTTTAAAGATTTGGTGCGAACTATTTAAATGGATGGATTCATGAGATCAGCGCCCACGCTAACCGGTGAGTCTCGCGTAACGGGCGAGTCACCGCCCCTACCACCCGATTGTGAAATTCCAGGTCCAAGGCAGAATTTGGTGACAAAGTTTAACGCACCGTAACAGCAATTTAATGTAGCAATGCTCGACGGTCCGTCTTGCCCTCTGACATCACCTAACCTTTGGCACGGCCGCTTCCGCCGGCCGCAGGCCATCCCAGCCAGGGCAAATAATCAAGCGCCTGAAGCGACTCGATCCCACTTCGCTACGGGTGGGTGGAACGAAAGGCAGACGCTCTAGCCAACTGCTGTATCGGGAGGGATGTCATTCAAGTAGCTGACCTGACTTCGCGAATATAGGTTTACGTGACACTATTTCGAACTTGACCTACAAAGCGTAGGATCTTGACTCGATTCAAGCGGCTATGTTGCGGCGAGAAATCTGAAATCAAATTAGCATGACGCTACGTGTTGCCGCACTGATTCTTATCATAACGAGTTGGCAAATTAACTGACCCATCAGCAAATGACGTCATACGATGTTGCACGGCAAAGGTTCGTGTGCGTCATCCATTTAAAATGAAATAACGTTACTCGCACGTCATAAACCTTAAAACATGACGCTATCTTCTTGTCAAAGCGTCCTCCTTTTACGCCTATGGGTTTATGCCATTAGCATGCCATGACGTCTGCGATGCCATCAGTAATAATTGTGGCTGCAAGCCTGTCAAGAGCACTTCATAGGGTCGGCACAGGTCCGGTTGGGTCCAATCGCCAATTGCAACTTTAAGCTCCTTTACATTTCGTAAGAGGTTTGCGCACCGCTCCTCAGCTCGCTCCCAGACTTAGTGATTATGACATGAAATCGTTTAACAGCGCGTCATATGTCACAACATCTGACAAAAACGCTTGTTTTCTTTGCAGGATCAATCCATCAGATTTGGAATGGCCCCAAAGTTCAGAATACAGAACATCGTTGAGCAGAAGCGAAAACAATCGTCGAAAAAACAATGCGTACAACGCGCCGAGTTGATGTCCCATGGTGTGCGAGCATGCACGAACACCTCGGTGCCCGATCTCGACGTGTTTCCAAGATTGCAGTCATGGAACAACGACCGCATATGATCTAAGTTGACACATACAACTGGCGACATATGGTCGGGATAATGTGATATGTTAGGACCGGCTGGGGCGCATGTAGCAACTGGGGATGATCTCAACTCACATTTTCGCTGAAAACCCGGCTAAGCGTGCCATACACGCACGGACCTTATGCCTGGCGTAAAACAATGCCACTAATTTTTTATCTGTTCAGTTGTATCTGTACAACACGAATATCAAAACGTCAACATTTATCAACGCATATCTAAATGCATCCCATCGATTTCATAACGGGGGGGGGGGGGGGGGTTGACCCGGGCGACACCACGTGACTGCGCCCCTGAGGACCCGATTACGATGCCCAGGAGGGAGGGACCAACAGCTCGTGAGTCGGGTAGTGCGTAAGTCAACACGCAATTTGCATGTCGTTCTGAACCCACAGTAAGGGTGCATTTTTCCGACGGTATACGTGCGTATCCCGTGCCATATGAGAGCCACGCACAGCCTGCGCGCTAACTTCTGCCCCCACGGACTTACGCATATTCCGATCCCTGCAGGGCTCAGACCTATCACGAACGAGTCAAAATCTGCATACGGCCAAATCCAATATGCATGCGAAGGCACGCCTCGCATCTCCGAGCTGCGAGCATCGCTGCACGTCCCGTCTCGCTCGCGCCGAGCGAAGCGGACGCCAGCCGGCTGCCCCGACCCACCCGCTCTCGCCGCGCGGCCCGCCAGCGTTCGCGTCCCGCGCGCCGCCCGAGGCTCAGCGCCGCGCTGCACGCCGCGGCGCGCCGGCCGGCGTCCGAGCCGCCGCCGCTGCCGGCGCCGCTCCGCGCTTCCGGTCGCTCGGCGCATTATTCAATTACAGCCGCGGCCGGGCCGATATGGGAGTGACGCCGCCGCGACCGGCGCCGTGCAGCGCGGGTGTAATCGCCCGCCGGCGCGCGGCCACCGGCCCCGAATTCGCGGGAAGCGGGCGGCGCGCGACGCCGCCGCCAACGGCAGGCCGATTGACATGGCGGCCATCGGCGGCGGTTACCGCCGGCGCCGTTTCCGGCGGCGACAGAGTGAGCGTTTCCGGCCGGCCTGCGTTCGCCGGCGGCCCCGAGCAGTCCGTGTGAAGCGCGCCCATGCGACAGGTCCGTACACCGGACGCGCCAGCACGTGATTAGCCAACTCCCAACGGCCAGTTGGTTAGCCTGACACCCATAAAGCATGCAACTGCCAGGAATTGTGTCACATGGCACAGCGCCTGCAATGCGGCACCAATTATGCAAAAAGACCTGTTAACGGCCTGCCAGCAATGCGGTGTCACGGACGACTAGCGTTGGCAGCGATCCTGGGAAGCCGGTCTCTAATTGGTGGCTAATTCCACAGTTTTGCGATATTCTGGCCGTCTGCGTCATGCTGGCTTAGCCGTAACTTGTACCAGACCAGAACGCCTGAACAGGGTCGGGAATTATCCAGTAGCTGATATGTTTTGAACCAACCAACAGCCTATTCTTACCAGCAACGTGCGAGCGATTTTACTGCGATGGAACGGCCGTGTTCCTCTGCTAACATCGAGTCATCTTCCTCTGTAGAGGCGTGGCTATGTGCTCAATAGTGGCCATGCATGGCCGGCCCGGACCCGCAAATATCAACGGCCTCACTCTTTCAACGAAATCAGATATTTCGACTCATCACCATTACCGTCATTGGTATCAGTATTTCACGACAACGGGAAACACAGCCCGAGTATAATTAAAGCAAAGCAGGTCCAGCCACGGCGTCAAATTCTGACACGGCAGCATGGGTGTATCTGTGCAAAAGTGCTTAGCTGGTAATTGTATGATTAAATAATGAGTTAACGCCGTGATCCGCACGGGTCAACCATCGAAAGCGCCACAGACGCAAGGTACGTCCGACCCTTGATATTCGGGGATTGGGCCAGCGACGTAAATGTGATCTTTAGTGATTGGGTCAGCGACGTAAACGTGATTTTTTGTGTGATATGTGATAGTGTGATAAAAACGTGATAAAAAATTGGGGATTGGGTCAGCGGTGTAAATGTGATCTTTGGGGACTGGGTCAGCGATGTAAATGTGATCTTTGGGGACTGGGTCAGCGAAGTAAATGAGGTCTCATTGCAGGGCATTTGTTATCGCATGTCGTCTCCTTCCTATGCGTTGGAGCTCCGGGCGCTGTACCCGACTTAACTCCACAGCGCGCGGCGAACAGCAAAATGACAAATTCTGGAATAAGCAACGCGAAGAGCGACATGGTTTCTCCAGCAATCTTCTACTATGGTGCATTCGCACCAACCAAAGGTCTCATAACTCACGACAACTGCCCCCCCCCCCCTTCTCCCAAGCACAACGCTGGGACAGCACGCGCCCCCGATATGAACGCATGCCCCCCTCCGTCGCCGTGCCACTTACCGCTGGCCCAGCTACCGGCGGGCAGGACCAGGAAGATCGTACACAGCCAGAGCGCCTGCCCGAGAGCCATCTTCACGGCCCCCGACCTGCGGCCTCTGTAGTCATCTGCGGCACAGGAGTTACTCTGTCAGGTCAACACAGAAGCGGCCGTCACCGTCGCCTGCTGCACTGGGGCATATGCGGCGCGGGGCACCAGTTAGATCATCACAGAATCAGCGCTCACGGTTATCCGCAGCGCAGTGTCATGCGTGGCGCAGTCAACTGCAAGATAAAACAAATACTCAGTGCCATATCTGCAGCGTAGAAGCAAAAGTCAAGGTCGTGTACAACAGAGGACGGACGCCAGCGCTCGTGCCAAATGGATCACAGCTTATCTTCTTAGAAGTCGGGGGGAGGGGGAGGCTACTAGATTCTGCGCGGGCACAGTCGTACAAGATGTCCACGATGTCGTCATGTCCGCTCGCGCGCAGTACTGCCCCCCGTCGCCTGCGGCCGTGTCGCGCGCGGAGCTGCCCCTGCGCGGCGCCAGCGTGCGGCACATGACCTGGGTGGGTGCCGCGGCACGCACAGTCGCACGGACATTCATATGGCATGACGAGCGACAATATACCGGGCGCCCAGCCGCCCCGAGGCCGGCGCCGGGAGGACGCCTCGCTGCTGGTCGCCCCCGGGAGGCGGACGCCGGCTCGGAGCCCGGCTCCGATCTGGCTCCCATCCGGGCTCCGGGGGTGCGGCGGGCGGCCCGAGGCGTCCGCGCCGAGCGAGTCCGAGACGCGGCAGCCGGGTGTACGCTGCGAGCGATCGACGTCGGATTGGTATCGTGGGGGGGGGGGGGACGTTCCATTTTTCTAGCCATCCAACCTGTTGGCTGTGGACTGCAGTGATCCAAAAGCACCCTATTATGTACTCCGAGGCTTCAATCGATGGAACCAAAAGGCAATGCGTAATTACAAATTGGGCTGCAGGTGGTGAGGGTTTCAGAAGCCCGTTTTTGAGCTGTGAGCTCTCGCAAAGCCTCGGTTCTAACTTTTCCAAATGACCATAAAGTCATCATTACCGGTGCGCAGTTGACTTCCGGCCACCAAACAGTTTGTGCCCCGTTCCCACCTCAGAGACTCATTTCATGACCAGCCGCAGTCCCCCGTCGCCGCCGCCGGTCTGCCATCGCGGTGCGGCAAGATCGGGTCGACATCGCACAGCAAGTCCGTGTGCACAGGGGAGCTCGGGTCGACACCGCACAGCATGCCCACATTCCCAGGGAAGCTCGGGTCGACATCGCACAGCAAGTCCGTGTCCACAGGGGAGCTCGGGTCGACACCGCACAGCAAGCCATATTCCCAGGGATGTTCGGGTCGACACCGCACAGCAAGCCCGTATTCCCAGGGAAGCTCGGGTCGACATCGCACAGCAAACCCACATTCCCAGGGGAGCTCGGGTCGACATCGCACAACCAGTCCACATTCTCAGGGGAGCTCGGGTCGACGACACCGCACAGTCAGCGCACACTCTCCGATCGGAGTGTGCGCCGGCGGCATGCGCGCCCCGGCGTCGCATGCCGCCGCACGGACGTCAAACATTGATGCAGGGGGAGGGCATCGCTCTGTGGCCACGTACGCGAGGACACCACACAGCGTGACTACACCGGCACTGCAGCCAGCAGTGCACACACTGCGCGGTGCAACTCACTAATGTGGACACAGCGGCTTAGTTCGAGCCGCGGATCAATGCCGCTCCACTCCATTCCGCTCCCAAGGAAATGCCTTCGCTGCCTTCGAATCGCAAACACCTACCAGCGATACGTGACGCTGCCATAGCATCCGCGTCGGGTGCACAGATGCAGAGGCTGCACAACTCGAGTCAATGCCGTGAGGCCCAATGCGTGCGCATCGCACGTCCCAGGCCGTTCGGTAGCGATCGCCCGTCATCTCGACAGTGAGTGATCCGACCCCGCGGGTACCCGCCGGGGCGCGCGTACGGCTAACCCCAGCCTGATTCGTCACCGCAAACCCTGCACGGTGTTAAGTGCCCTGGCGTCTCCGTCGTTACGCCGCTGGGATTGCTGGTCGGTGCGGGCCGTGTCGTGTCGGTGCGGGGGGTGTCGTGTCGGTTCGTGCCATACGAGACAGTGTCGTGTCGTGCCGTATAGGACAGCGTCGTGCCATGCCGTATGGGACATTGCCGCGACATATCGTATGGGACATTGTCGTGTCGCACTGCAAAGGGCAGTGACGTACCGTGCCGTATTGGACAATGCCGTGTCGTGCCGTATGGGACGGTGCCATGTCGTGCCGTATGAGACAGTGTCGTGTCGTGCCGTATGACACAGTGTCGTGTCGTGCCGTACGGCAGTGTTGTGTCGTGTCGTATGGGGCAGCGTCGTGTCGTGCCGTATGAGACAGCATCGTGTCGTGCCGTATGGGAGTGACATGCCGTGCTGTGCCGTGCCATGCTGTGCTGTGCTGTGCTGTGTCTTGCCACGCCGTGCCGTGCCCAGTCGTGTTACGCCGCGTCATGTGCCAGCTGGCGGGTCGCCGTGTTGTCCGGCGGGACAGGACGCCGTGCCGCGCGTCGGCTGACCACGGCGCCAAGCCGCAGGTGGAGCCGGGCGCACCGGCTGGCGGCCCGCCGACGAGCAGCGGCGCGCTGGCCGCGTTCCCAGAACACACACACACACACGCACGCGCACGCGCACGCGCACGCGCACGCGCACACGCACACGCACACGCACACGCGCACGCGCACGCGCACGCGCACGCGCACACACACACACACACACACACACACACACACACACACACACACACACACACACACACACACACACACACACACGCACGCACGCACGCACGCACGCACGCACGCACGCACGCACGCACGCAGCGCGACACCCCGCGCAGCACAGATGCGCATTGAACGGAGGACACGATGCAGTCATCTGACGAGTTGCATGTGTGAATGCTGAAACCTGACAGCGCAGCAGCGTTTCATGGAGAATGTCCAGTGCAGCTGTGACAGGTCATAAGCGACGTCTGGAGCATCTCCGCTCAATAGCTGGTCATTGCCACCGGAGCTTCACTAACGAGGGCGGTTCACACTTCACGTTCGCCTCCGCTGCGAATGATTTATTGTTTTCAGTCTCGCCCCCACGAGCCTCACACGCCCCTGCTCTGAGCCCCTGTCCTTGGCGTGCACGGCGGATCCAGAAGCCCGTCCAAGTGGGTCAAATCATATCAGGGTCACCATCCCGTCGGCCTGACACAATGTTCAGCGCTGCGAGCACGGCCGTCGGAACACACACGAGTGAGTCTTTCGCAGCCCAGCACGGCACAGGCAGTCAGTCCAGTCCTCCCAGCACGGCGGTTAGTCAGTCCAGTCCACCCAGCACAGCCCAGCACGGCACACCTAGTCAGTCCAGTCTTCTCAGCACAGCCCATCACGGCACGGCCAGTCAGTCCAGTCCTCCCAGCACAACCCAGCACGGCACAGTCAATCAGTCCAGTCTTCCTAGCACAGCCCAGCACGGCAGTCAGTCAGCCCAGCCCTCCCAGCACAGCCCAGCACGACACAGTCAGTCGGTTTAGTCCTCCCCGCCGCACAAATGACGTCCCAGTCACCGCACGCGCCCGACAAGCAGCCGTGCCCGCCGCACCCACGCAGACGGGGATCCCTTTCCAGTTCGCGTCCGTCGTCCCTCAGCGCTCTGCGCAGCACCTCCTCTCCCACCGAGCGCTTCGGCTTCGACTTCAACTTCCTGCACGGATCGGCCCGGTGGTGCTTCCCAGCCGTCTCCAGCGGCCCATCGCCTCGCGCCAGATGGTTGGCCTGGCGGCCCGGATCGGCCTCGGGCGAGCGGCGCCTTCCGCCCGCGTCGACACAGCCCTAACAAATTAATATCGCCGCGCGCCTTCAGCGCGCGCGTCCGTTCCGGCCGGCGGAGTGGCCGGCCGGCAGCGGGCCACCAGCCGCCCACTCTGAGCCCTCTCGCGCCCGCCGATCATAGTCACGCGCTCGACGCGCCTCTCAGAGCCACGCGCTCGACGCGCCTCTCAGAGCCAGAAGATCTACGCGCCACTCAGAGCCACACGCTCGACGCGCCTTTCAGAGCCATAAGATCCACGCGTCACTCAGAGTCACACTCTCGACGTGCCACTCAGAATCACACTCTCGACGCGCCGCTCAAGAGTCGCGCGCTCGATGCGCCGCTCGAAGCTATACGCTCAACGCGCCTCTCTGAGCCACACGCTCGACGCGCCTCTCCGAGCCACACGCTCGACGCGCTTCTCGGAGCCACACGTTCGACGCGCCGCCGCAGTCACCCTGGATCACCCGACTCACTCCCGACGGGGAGCGCCAGTGACGAAGGTTGCTCGTCAGAGGCCCGGCTGTGAAGCGTTCGCCTACATTGGTCTGATCTCTGTGGTCAACAACGAGGGGCGACGGATCGAGACAAACTGTAAGGGACAAGCAAGTTAACGTCTAGGGTGCGCGTTTGTCTTACCATCGATAGTCTTTCATGTCAACGCATTATTTCCCTCCGGCCACTCGGAACCACACTGTCATACGCGGTCCCATACGCACCAACTCTCCACGACTTCGATCCCCCCGTCGGAGCCGGTGAGGCCGACGACCCCACACCGCGCGTAGAGCGACTCGGCCGCGCGAAACACGAACTGCCGCCGGCGCGGGCGGAGTCTGACAGCCAACCGGGACGACAGCCAGCGGACGAGCGGACCACCGCCGCGTCAGCACAACGCACGGTCCGGTCCCCCTTCCCAGCGCTCCCACCGCGCCCACAGCGCTCTATTGGGGGCCAAAAAACGCGCCGCCCTCTGGCAAAAGGGCACGGCGGAGTCGACCGCCCCCCCCCCCCCCTCGCGGGCCGAGCGACGACGCCGCAAACCTGACGCCTCTGCTATCGTAAATAGTGAATGAATCAAAAACGGACCTGTCGGCACCTGTGAACGATTAGCCTTCGGGGCTCGGGACCCGAACCGGTGACGAAACGCTCGTCATGTGCGAACTCCCCGACAATGCTGCGAGCCGACGGAGGAGCAACGGCGTCGCAGAGCAGTGGTGCCACATCCCGCTCCACCCGCCGCCGGTAACCGGACCCACGCCGCTTCAAAGCCGACTGGTGTCCGACCATAATGGCCGCCGGCGAACTGGGCCGGAGGCGAGCGAGCCCGGTCCGCGGCCGAGCCCGGCGCCGGGGGGCCGCCGCGGCGCCTCTGCCCCGGCCAGCCGCGGCTCGGACGGGGCGCGCCGCGCAGGTGCAATCGTACACCGGGTGATCAGGCGAGCGCAGAGCTGGATCGACACAGTAGCCGGCAGCTACGTCAGGGATCAATGACTCACCGGGGCCGCTTCATGGCGCCGGCCGGGTCACCAGAGCCACGCCTGCTCTGGGCGTCACGTTCGACTCCGTGCAATTCCATTCATTCCGGCATGATAAACGATCGAATCTCCGGCTGGAGATCAGAGCACCCTCGGGTGTCATCCGGCGCCGGGCTGTGCGGGGACGCGGCTGAGATGGGCGGCCGCCGGCACGGCGTGTGCACGTCCGTCACGCTCCAGCGGGCACGCGCGCCGGTTGTCCGCCGCGTGCCGGCGGTCACGTTTGTTCCGTGGTGTGGACCATCGCTCACGACAGGCCAGCAGCAGCCGGTGCTGAGGTGGCGGTCACCGGCGGCCGCTTCCGCCCATGCCAGGCAACGGGTTCCGCGAGAGGCGTGGCATGCCACGTGCGACGCCTGCCCATGTGGGCATTCTGAAACGTCGCCTGGCTCCTGGAGAACGGTCTGGGAAGTTCAGTAGTTGATCAATTTCGCCGAAAACGCCACTGTTCCGACTCATTCCACAAATGTACGTGAGGCCGCCTCTGCAACGTCTGACGGATTGAGAAGTGGTACCTAGAAACCAACCACTGAGCGGGTAATATAACAAGCTACGCGGAATCTGAATCTTCTCCACCGCCCACGCAAAACGAACGGTCACGGTCGTAACTCCCGTGGGCTTCGGTGGCCGAAGCTCAGCCGCTGGCGCCAGCCGCGCTTTGCTGACAGAGGCTGTCCCTAGCAGACAGAAAAGTCCGTTCCTTGATTCGAAGGAGGAGACTCCTCCTCCCTGCCACCCACTCCCCTCCCCAGCGGCCCCAGGCGGCGGGACGCCCTCCCCCCGCGCCGACGCGTCGAAAATCGATGGTCGTCGGCTGACGGAGGGCGCGTGCAAGCCGTCAGCAGCCGACCGTGGCAGCGGCGGCGGCTCTCCGCCCCTCTCCCCTCTCCGCCCGCGGGGGCGGCGGCCTATCTGCGCCTCTCTGCGTGACCTGAGTACGGCGACAAGCCGGCGAAACGCGACCGGCCTCGGGCTTGCCGCTCGTACATTGCGGCCCCACACAGCGTCACCTCGTACACCAGCCCGTACATTGTTTCATCCACGTCATTGCGAATAAGAGTCGTAGTGAAAAGTGGCACAGCATGGTTTTACAGGCAGTAACTCGTTAAGGCATTTTGCCAGCTCACAATTAAAATGGTATCTCATCTCCCATTCCAGAATGTAAAAATGTCAGCCCTTTAAGGGCGAATCACAGTTATATGCATCTAAAAACCTTAAAACCCTCGTACTCCTGACACATCTACGGATTAACAGGAAAACGCTGAATAAAAAAAAGCAAACCGCAGTTTTCAGTCGCCGCATTCTGCGATCTCAGGGAGCAGCTCGCTGTCATTTCCACAGAACAGCTGACTGAATACTCCTCGAACCTACACAATGCTTCAAGAAGACAAGGGTGACCCACAGCTTGAAGCGCAACTTTCTGCGTAAGACAGAGATTAATTTACTTCATTTCAGGCAGCTTTGGTGCGGGTGGAAACGCAGCTTTGCAGCTCAGTAAGAAATTGGCTTAACTCGTGCAATTTCTTTATAATATGCACAGACCACGCAGATGCTGATGTAACTCGATCCACTTTCACTTCGGTACTTTTCGGCTGCTCATATTCTAGTATCATCGGATAAGTACCAAAGTACGGTACGTTGGTTTGCACCCATAGTGAAACATTAGCCTTCAGGACCTATTCGTGATCTTCAATAGCATTCCTTTCCTGAACGAATCAGATTTTCCAGACTGAGCTGCGGGGTTTCTAAAACAACCATAAGTGACAATTATTGAGACGCCCCTTTCCGTACAGAGCATTTGCATTCCTTACCTGCGGTTGAAAGACAGCAAGGTTTGTCCCGAGGATACCCACAAATGTAGCATACCCAAGGATACCCAGAAATGCGTCGTCCGATAGGCGGCGGGAAGACTGACATTCCTGCCGCAGTCTCCGATTGATGATTAATTGCTGGCGAACTGCCGCCGTTACGGCGAGACGCTGATAAACTACATCTGTACTGCTACCGGGGCTTGCTTCTGGTTTGGTGCCATTCGTATGGTCAAACATGAAAATGGTCCGACCTGCCAGTCACTGCGACCTGGATCCAACAGCCTATGAACATGGCCGCATGTTCGAACCGACGTGCGTCTCTGCTGCAAGCCCTCTGGCAGGCTCGAACAGCGAGCTCGGGCAGGCGCTCGGCCGTGACCACCGGCGATCTGCCAGGGCCTTGGTCTGGCACAGGACATGCCTCGCCTTCCGCGGGCCCTGCCCAGACTGCCCCAAGCCGCTGCGGCTCTGCCCAGACTGCCCCAAACCGCTGCCGTTCCACACCCGACCGCATCCTCCAGCGAGGCATCTGTTCTAGAACGCGGCAACTCCGGCCCGATCGCGGCCTAAGTCCTCCCCACCACCGGCTGCTCGACCAACGAATCGGCACCAGTGGTGTGCAGCGGGCGTCGACGGGGCTCGCCACTCTCCCCCCCCCCCCCCTCTCTCGAGACCCGGAGTCGACACGCCGGACGCCCGGTGTCCGCCGGTCAGCGCCCCCGGCTTCCGTGTCCAGCCCATTATTTTTCCATCGGGCCGGCGGAGTCTGACCGGCCGGTCCCGGCTGGCGCCGGCCGCTGCGCACGACGCGCCGCTCCCGTCCGTGTCCGCCGAGGTCCCTGCGTCGGTCCGCCGCTTCATGCCCTCCCCCTCCCCGTCTAGGCCTCCCCGCGAACGCCTGGCCCTCGGCGTGTTCGAAGCCCTGTGAAGGCCAGGTAAGTGATTTTTATAGCTTGTTCCGTCGTTGTTCTGTTCTGCCGTCAGTCTGCAGCCACAGTCTCCAGTCTCCAATCTCCAGTCTCCTCTCCTTGAGCGGCCTGGTAACCACACGGGTCCTATTCAGTACGATAATTCCTCGAACGATTGCACTGGACATATCTGGAAGTCCAGTTTCTCCTGAAATGTGCGTTCCTCAACGAATTTAGCCCACTCCATTCTAACGATGATATTTTTAACACGACTGTATCAGCATTTCTTTATTTGAGCAGGAAAGGAAGCATGTTCATGAACTAGCAAAGATAGCAGGCTTTGTGTGATAGTTACTTTTTACGCAATCCTGTTATATTCCAGCATAAAATATTGGGCCAAAAGTAGCATCGGGGAGGGGGGGGGGGTACGGTATATTAAAATTGGGGGTACCACTCTCATGAAATAATGCACACAAACCCATGAGTTGGGTGGCACCACATTCCAGCAATCCATAAGGAAAGAAGCCAAAACTGGGTCAAAGGCCATCGTTTTAGATACATGCCTTTCAAAGACGTTATCATCTGTCAATTCGTATTGCACGTGTGATTGCGTGCATCCCAGCTGCCACAAATGTCGTTGTATAACGCCGTATGAGACGCTCAATCAGCACGTAGAGATTGCGATGATATTCAACTCACACGTAGATTTTCATGCTCACATTTAATGCTTGGAAGGTATGAAGCAATGACAAAAAACAATACTTCACTTCACTTCACTTCAAACACCACAATTACATGGCAAAAGTAAATACCACAGTCCCAAGCAGAGCCTCCTGTGACCTCCAGGTGCGTGCCTCCAAGTGAGCTCCGTAAATACTGTTGAGGACTGACCACACCATCAGCAGCAGTTGGCAACACCAGAGCAGTTGGTAACAATCAGCGCATAACGGAAACCGAAGCCGTCCAGGCTCAAATAGCAGAAATCGCGAGGCTCGCCGGCCCGGCGGCACGCGAAACCGCGCCGTGTGTTATGCTGGCATTCGGAGTACCATTACCCATCCGAACGAACGTGAGAACGCGCTCTCTGCAGGCCTCCGGGAACACCTCACGTCCTGGTGTCAGCGCCGACCTGTCGTGCTCTGACGGTTATCTGCGGTCTCAGTACCGGCGCGCTCGCCAGGGACAACGTAACATCCTTGTGACGCAGCGGCCAGGGCCGAATGGCAATGGGCACGCCGCGAAGGATTCATCTGAAACCTCCATCAAAAATTTTGCCTGACTCGCCGTGTTCGTTGGAAAATTCTGGTCCTTAAACGTACGAGTACCGAGTTGGCACCAATGACAGATCGCATCCCCGCAGTCGGCATAAGCTATTTCGCCGTCAATATTTTGTCCTCATATTATCGTGCATTTGTAGCGGCAACCAGCGGGAGTCCCGTGCTCGGCTCGAGCCAGCGATTTAATGTGCGGTAACTTTTGATATTGCTGTGTGCTGCGCCGTAAATGGCATCGTTTGTCCTTAGTTAACGTATGTCCGTTTGCCCATGCATACTTAGCTCACCCACAAACGTAATAGGCAACACAACAACCCAACATAAATCCGCTTTGGTGCGCTGTCCCTGCAACTGTGCATCAGCTGACGTGTTCAATCACTTTTATTGAGCAGCCGACCTAAAAGCAGAAAGAGGCATGACTGGCAAAACAGGTCCTTTAACTGAAATCTGGCATAGTGAAAGAATGAGGAAATACACACTACGAAGGCGCGGCCGACTACTGCATGCAGTGCACCCCGCGCCATCCAGTCGGCACTCACCCTTCAGCCAGCAAGGCAGTATCCAACGAGCGCTCCGCCCGAACCTTGGAGCGCCAGCGACCACAACCGATCCGCGCACTGTCCCCAGCCGTCGCGGCACCCGGCAGCCCCCTCACCCCGCTCCAGGCACCTACACCACTGCCGCCGCCGACCGACAACAAAATCCGCGCACCGCGGCCGGCAAGCGCGCCCTCCGATTGGTCGGCCGCCGAAACAAGGTCAAAGCCACCGCCAGTGAAAGACGGTCCGCGGGAGCGACGAGCGCCGGCCGCGCGCGCTGCGCACCGCGCTCCTCTTTCGCGGATCATCGAGCCGGCGCTGACGTCACTCCACCGGTCGCCGGAGCGGTGGCCGCCGCAGGGCCCGTGCCCGGCCGCGGACAGCAGCGCGTGGAATGTGCGCCGGCGTGCTGGCCGCCCACTCCGAGCGTAGCACAAACGCGCCGGCAAAAAATGAAGGTAAAAACTCCGACAAAAAGGGAACGCAGGTTTCATTCACAACGCAGCGCATCAGCTGACTGCTGTATGGCCTCGTCGAAAAGATAACGGTACTTCCCTTGAGGCCAATGGTCGCTGGGGCATAAATAAAACAAGTGGCGAGCGTGCCGATGTGGTTCACGGTTTTTCTGTGACGTTCTGGATTTACGTGATATCATTTTGATAACAGAGCTATATTCCCGTGGAGTTTCTTTACTTTAAGAATAAGGCCTCCAGTTGCTAGAGCAACTGGAGGTTTTATTCTTATTCTGGACCTCGAGCTAGGGTCGAGTATCGCTGGAGCAGCTTTAAACGAACGAAACGTTGCTCAGATATAAAACCTCTATCGAGATAAAATCGGAGACGAAGTGACTCGATCGTCTTTAACTTTGACCACGCGATAAATTGGGGATCCTGATATGTTACTGAAGAAAATTTTGCATACCTCACCTACAGCGCCCGCAGGTTTTATGGGTGCACTGCTTTTGAAAAATGTGGACTTTCATTCCGGATCTGCGCGCACCGGAGCGGAAATGAGTATAATATACTTAACAATGCGCGGGGAACACATGGCTCGCAATGAGCAAGCGTCGCTTAAATCAACCAGAACCAAGCAGAACCAAGGCACCACCCGCCGCCGCCTCTTCCCTTTCAGAAACAGGCTGGAGCAGCATGGGGAAGGCAGTGCGTCGAGGCGGCTAGCTTGGCGCCGCCACCCACACACGGCCTGCCGCTACTCATGCATATCGTGCCCATTCGTCGCTACTCGTGCCGTGCGTTCCCAGAACGGTGACAGCTGACGGGACCCTCCCTCACCACCTGCTGATGACTGCAGATGCCGGCAGTGGCGGGCTCGCAGCCGGCGGCTGATGCCTGAAGGCACCGACAGAGGGCGGGCACACAACCGGCGGCTGATGCCTCAAGGCGCCGACAGAGGGCGGGCCCGCAGCCGGCGGCTGATGCTTGAAGACGCAGCCAGAGGGCGGGCTCACAGCGGGCGGCTGATGCCTGAAGGCACCGACAGAGGGCGGGCCCACAGCCGCGACTGATGCCTGAGGACGCAGCCAGGAGGAAACCCGCAGCCGGCCGCAGAGCCCGCAGCGCACCGCCGTGCGAGAGGAGGGCCGAGAGCGAACGCCGCGGCCGGTTCCCGACGCCGTTCGCCGAGCACCAAGGGCGCTTCGGACGGACTTCTCCGAACCCTGCCGCTGCGCACCGGGGCCGACCAATTATGCGCTGCGGTTGCGCGGACTGCCTGGCGGCGCAGCTGGCCCGCGGAGGACGGCAAAGCGCGCCTGGCTGATGCGCGCGAAGGGGAAGCGAGAGGAAGCCGCTGCACGTCAGTGGGGACGGCGGAAGCGACGGGAGAGGGGGGGCGGGGGCGAACGTGAGCCTGGAAAACCCTCAATATATTCCAGTACTCGATCACGACATCCCTTCAACATGGAATGCTAGGGAATCCTGGATCCACCACTGGGATAAGGGGCGTCACTTCACATACTGTGGAGGGGGGGGGGGGGGGAAGGGAGCTAAGCCCGCCATGGTGATCTGAGTTCCCCAATGCTCTTCTAAGCTCCCTCAATTAATGTGAGTAGAGTGATTGATGAGTCAAAGAACTGCAGAATAATGTCTTTACTACTGGTACAAAGGGATCGATCTTCTTTCTGCAGAGAGCCATACTTAACGAGAACTTAAGATGGGGTCGTTTGAGTCGGGACGTTCTTTTTTTAGGAGACTCTCTGCGTCGTCGCAAAATATCTCTCGTGAGAATGCTTGAACTCCATAATCGGCCAGTTGGAATATTGAGACAATCGAGCATTCTCGAGCGAGATAACCTGCACTGACGCCGAGGGCTTTGTAAATAGAGACGCCCCGAGACCAAAACCCTTTCCAAGGTCCTCGTAAAATGTGGTTCTCTGTTGGCACAAAACCAACGCCTTTGGGGTTCCTGAGCACTCTCGAGGGTGTTACCCTTTTTATCATGTTGATTAACTTGCAACATACAATCATGGAATATATTTCTGCACTCAACCGACACCCGCCAGTGACAAAAGCGAAGACGTTCAGATCAGTGTAACAACACGAACTCGTTTCGTCATAACGCATCCCAACAGAATGTGGTGGCTGCACAGGAACAGCAGTACGATGCATTTCAGCAGATTAACGCATCCCATAGCAGAACGACGTATTTACATCGACATACGCCGGAGACGCGTCGCAGCTCAATACCGTGCCGTCAGAACACAACAAAGCGGAGCGACGCATCCCACAGCTGAATGACGCATCCCATAGCAGAACGACGTATTTACATCGACATAGGCCGGAGATGCGTCGCAGCTCAATACCGTGCCGTCAGAACACAACAAAGCAGAACGACCCATCCCACAGCTGAATGACGCGTCCCATAGCAGAACAAGGCATCCCACAGCCGAACGACGTATTTCATGGCAGAACGACGCGTCTCTATTAACGTGCGCTGAAGACAAAAACCAAAACTTCCGAATCAGCGATAGAAGCAAACTTGTGTCGTCATAAAGTCGCACAGCAGAACGATGCATTTCAATCGGCACGAAAGAACATGTTCCAAAGCAGAACAACACAACCTACAGCAGAACGACGTATCTCCGTCGACATGCGCGTGAGATCAGGTTTCCAAATCAGCCGCAACACAAGCTCGTGTCAGCTTTCAGCGACGCCCTAGCGTCGCACACAGTCACTGGGCATATGTGTCACCACCACCGATCAGGGAGCTCCTTTGTGCCCTCCTCCTTTAAGTCCCGCCTTTTGGCCATAGTCCAGGGCGACTATGAACGACGCCGCAGCGTGCGCCTGCAGCACAAAGTGTTGCAGAAAGACGGCGACCGACGGCGATCGCCCCGGCCCGGTGTCTGAGCGAAGACTTTGTACGACACCGCCCACGGCAGCACGGCCGCCGCTATCCTCTGCACCTTCACCATCGTCATCTCCTCCGTCTTCACGCTACAGCGGTCTTCCGGCGGTCTTCTATGCATTAACCCATAATGACCAGATGAGCCACGATTCACAAGGCAGTGAGTCAGTGAAAGCCAGTTGCGAGAGCAAGCAATGAATGCAGGATGAATATTTTTACCGTGATAAAAAACATTTGTGTCATTTTAGAGATCGGCGACTCATTTGTTCACGTTATCCCACTATATAATGACTATAGAGCTTTGCACGCTGACGTCTTTGAGTATTAAGTATGATGTTCACAGGAATAATGCATGAAATATTATCACATTTAAACGATGGGCAATCAGGGGCGGGCCCCGGATTTCATTAAGGAAAGGCCACACTTAACTGCGTTGCCCCCAGAAGCCCGGTGTGCCCTATCCCCGTCCCCATCCCCACCCCACTTCACAAAAAAGTCCCCAGATTCTGATCACCCCTTTTTTACGTTATTATCTCTTACTAAAAAAAACTTTTTCGTGCTAGTGGAGGGCTAAAAATACAGTTGGTCGATAAGCATATGGCTCGAGTTTATCTTTACCAGAGACGGATGGGTCATACAGTTCTGAGCTAAGTACGTCGGACATGATTGGCAAACGGGCTTAAGTTGGCTCCCATACACCAACAAAGATAAGCACGACTCGGATCACCAGTCATCGTTGTGTGTCATTGAGGTTTTCGGACGCGCTCAACCACTGTGCATATTTTGGGATCCAATTCAGCTCACAACTCATAGCTATTCCACATTTTTTAATCGACTCAGCTCAGACTCATTGCTTGCATTGAGTCATTTGACGCATGACTCATACGGCTTGCGAATCAAAGATCTGGTACAGTTTTGGATTGTTTATATATATATATATAATCAAGAAGCCTTGTATGCAATAAAATGGTCCAAAATAAAATTTAAGAAATGCAATAGAGAATTGTCCTGAAATAGTCCAAATAGACCAGCAGCAAGTATGTCGTTCGAGCCCAGCAAATGCAGTGTTGCAAACAATAGTTTTCCTCTCACCTGATACCAACCAGCTCTCTCATGTCTCAGTATAAGGCTAGCATGTTCTATCTGGCACCTGTAACCCAGACCCGTTAGTAAGACGGCATGCGGTGTGGACCTGACTGCGCTAAACCTGACATTTCGCAGTCATCACCTGTCAGGTGCTAGCCAAGTACATTCACAGCTAGGTGATTTCATTTCTATTTGCCAGTACCAGCCACGCCATCGGCGACGAAATCAGATTTGTCAACAATTGAACATCAGATTACAGCTCTACATAGCGATAAGCTAGCATAAGTCATGCACATGATATGGCCTTATTTTTTTACCTGAGCTTAAGAAGCGTTATCTATTAGGATTGCATTTCACACAGACCTCACACACGATCCCAGTAAAAATCCACTTCACATGATCCGCGTGCTCCAGCCAGCAAGGACCTGACCTAAACTAAATGGACAAGGTTTAACTCTACATGGACAAGGTTTCCGCATGGCGTAGAAATCAGTGCTGTGCGTCAGGTTACCCGCATACCAAGGCGACTTAATTCGGAGACAACTTTTTTACAAGCTGTGTGGTACATGAAAATTGTTTTTGATGATATACCTGGGAGGTCATGTGCGACATACAATGCCCATATGAAGCAAGACGACCTCGCTGTTTATTTTATATAGCCTCAGAAAAAGCAAGCTTGGAG